TCTTATCTCACTCAATTTAAAAGTTGAAACAGTTTCAATGCAACTTAAACGAAAATATCAAAGTTTACATTAGCCACAACACATACCAAGCGTATTATGCTAAAAAAATTGGGCACCAACTATCAATACAAGGAGGACCAATGGCGAAAAAAACAAGCTCATATAAGCATCGAAAGGTCAATGCAAAATTGTGAAGGCCATCAGTAATTACAAGAAAACTACGACTATGAAGTAAGGTTGTGTCAGAAAGGGCGGCAAGCAAAAAACATATTCACCGACACAAATAGATTGTTTTTTTATTAAAAAAAGAAATAAAATCACTGGCATGTACATTCACCTGAGGTTGTTGCATCTGCTGCTGCTGTTGTGGTGGTTGTGAGTAGCTTCCATATCCAGTATAGTTTGCATAGTACATATTTGGATCCTGTGGTAGCGGAGCATATCCATAGGTTTCATAACTGGGGGCACACCCGTAATATCCACTACTATACTGGTTAGGGTCAACCTGAGGTAGGAAAAGTAAAGATATATGGTTTGTGCAAAACAGTCGGCATAAAAAAAGTAGAGCACAAAAATAAAACCTAACAAAACGAGGAAAGACAAACCTGTTTGTTTGAAGGGCTACGGCCCCACGAGAGTCGAATGCTCTGACCTCCCAATTGGGTTCCATTTAACACCCGTAGAGCTTCCTCAGCACAGCTTCTGTTATAATATGAAGAATATATAAGATTTTATACTTAATGGAAACCTTAAACATGGACAACTGGTTGATTCTTGTTTTACCTGTCAGCAAATTGAACAAAACCGCATCGTTTGCCCATAGGTATCTTTACATGGAGTAACTGTCCATGTTGGCCAAACACCTGTCTCAGATGGTCATCTGTGATATTGGGGTCCAGATTCCCAACAAATATCTGCCGAAGACAAAACTCAGGACAGTGAGCAAATTTGGTTTTTTGATGTGGGAAAGGAAAATAAAAGTAGAAAATGTACTACAAATTTACTAACAGTTGTGTTAGATGGATCATCCTCACTTGGAGTTCCCTGTGAAGTTTGGTATGAGGCTGCAATTTTAACAGATAATTTAAGGGAAGATACGGTGCAAAAGTAATGTATCACTGTGACGCATGTATGATGATGATGTTCTAGCATACTAAAACAAATTTATGAAAAGCAAATGAAGGCAACAGTCGAGTTCAAAAGCTTTCTTTGCATCAAAGTCATATTACTATACAGAATCTCCAAATCATATAGTAGGCAGGAGAAAATCAAAACTATATCATTCTCACCATTCCCTTAACTGGGCAAATAAAAGAAAAGTAAGCATAGGCAAAAAGTACAGGAAATACCGAAATAGATCAATGCAGAGCCCTATATACAATGAGAAAAGTAACAAATAAACACTGATTGTGTAGTTGTTTCAATGTATAATTGTGTGATCTGGAACCTTGAAAGATAATGCAATCTTTAGCCAAAATGGTTTCCAGTGGTTAATCATCATACCCAAGAAAAACAATGCTTAATGTGTCGAGTCAAGCAGAGCACTACAGCAAACACCAATGAGTAATAAACCATACAGAATAAGGTTCACTCTGTCGCCAGCCACCATTTGCAAAAGCAACAAAGAAACTCAAAACACTGACTAAAGAAGCTGATAAGAGATAAGTTTACAAATGTTTCCCTCTAATAATGAGTAGAAGCTTGGAAAGGAAAACGCCAACTACAAAGAAGAATCAAAGCAACCCAAAGAAGTATGATGCACTCGTTACCACTTTGTCCTCTTAAAAATAATGGATAAAGACTTTGAAAGTAAGCCAATAGCTAGAACGTTGAAAAGGAAATAAAGCAACTCAAAGACAGATTCCAAGTTAAATAATGGCATAAAACAAAGGCCACCGCACAAACCACTGAAACCTGCGCTCTGTAAGCATTTTCCCTGACCTTAGACCACTGCCCACTCTCCACAGTAAGCCTTTTCTAACAGGAATAGATCCAATGTTAAGTGATTGGAAAATTATTGGCTGGAGAAGAAACAAATAATTATCTAAAGGCACAAAAGACAGCGGTCCATGGAGGTACAAAGTATTTACTGTGGCTAAATTAAAACTGAGTATCTACAAAAATAGAAGGGGCTGGAATAAAAAGGTAAATTTAACTTGACTGAGAGCTTAGAAAGTAAAAGGACGGGAAAAAAAAGGAACTGAAATTCGTAGTAGTGAAAGAAAAAACCAAAAAGTAAGAACTATTAAATTAAAACTGACCTACACAAGACCAGGCACTAAAAGGGTTATCATTTCAGCCGAATTTTAGCTCCAGGCCCATATATGATAGAGCCTCCTGACACCCTGCTTTGAGACAACCGGAGTTGTTTATGAGAATATGCATGTTTTAACACTTCAGAGCCTAAAACTTTTAAAATACTGGAAGGTAAGGACGTCGTAAGTCTTGCTTATCTTCAAAAAATGAAAGAAAGCAACTTAAAACATTGCTCAATCTATACTCCAACTATTCCAAAAAGTAAAGCCACCAAAGCAATGGAACTGCCAAATTAAAATCAGAGCACCATAACACATGAGTTTGACATATTAAAAAACCAGCAACCAAAATTGCTCCTTCAAAATCCACCTAAAAAGCTCGAAGCACTAAGCATACCTTTGGTCTGAGTCTGACCACCCACTTTTTGTTTGTTTGCAGCTGGACCAATTCGCATAGGCCTAGTGGAGCACAACCTCCCATTCATCTCTGTCATGGCACGCAATTGTTCACTTTCATCACCAAACCTAACAAACCCATAGCCCTTTGTACGTCCTGTTATTCTATCTGTGACAACTTTGGCACCCTTCACTGAAGGATAATTGGCTCTGAAAGTTTCCTGAAGCATGTAATCAGTAACATCAGCTGCCAGGTCTCCAACAAATATGGTGTAGTCAGAAGCATCATCACGCTTTTCCCCAGCTCCCATGGATGCCCAGTTCAATCTGAAGGTCTGTTCGACACTTGGCATTAAGCTGCCATTGTATGTCTGCAGGTTCCTCTCCGCAGCAGCATGGCTAACAAACTCAATGAATCCATAACCTTCTGACTGGAGTGTTTGCTTGTTGCGGATAACTTTAACTGCCACCACCTACAGAAATAAAAAGGTAAAATGATCTCAACTTAAAAGTAAACCAAAAAATCTAACAACCAATTCCAAATGACAGAGCACAACTATTAGAGCATCTCTAATGCATTCTTTTGAAAGGGTAAAAAATTATCCACCTAATCTAGATAGAAAGTGTGTGAATAATATATCCTCCAATGCATTAGATTATGGGTCCTTTCATGCTTATGTGTAAAAAATTAATGTTAACATTGTCAAGCTCACTTTCTAATTTCTCACATTCTTTCTAACATGATGACTCATCATTTTGATAATTATTTGACACAAATTTTGAGCTTTTCATAAACTTGGAAAAATCCCACCCTTACATTTATCCAATAAAACATTTGAGAATTTATTTGAATACAGTATAATTATTTGATGAGTTACAACTAAAATTTAAAAAATTTGTCAATAATAATGTCCTTAAAGTAAAATATTATGTTCATGATATTTGTTTGTTGAGTTATTGCAATTTTAATATTTTGTTGTTTTATTTTGAACCAATTAAAAAAATATTTATTGTGTGGTTATACATATTGTAACTGAGAAATTATTGAATAAATAATAATTTTATAAATTTGATGATATAAATAAAAATTAACTGAATCAACAAAAAATAACATCATGCATATAATTATTGGAATTTGTGGTTTTTTTCTAATATACCCTTTGATTTTATTAATAATTGAATAAATCCACATATACAAATTGTATGGTTGTTGAATGGATGCATTGGAGGCAACAATTCAAATGAAAGTCCTGTTCTTTTAACATTCAGTTCATGTAGATTAAACATTAATCCATTGATTGACATGTGTTCAAATTTAATTAATGTTGAAAGTTGAGCATTGGAGATGCTCTTATATGTCCTAAAAACACATTCGATAGCATTCATCCCTAAAATATAATGCACTGACAAAATTAAACTTGCAAAGCCAAACCCAACAAAAGAAACAAATTGAACTTCTTGAGTAACTACACTGTTAAATAATATCCAAGAAGGAAAACATAAGACATAATCAGAAATGCCTTGAAATCAAAATCATAAAACAGAAACGAAATTGCTTTATAAGATGAAGATAATAAGCAGATATGGCAATCGGAATAACACCTAAACAGGAGAGGTAAAAAGAGAGGGAACGAGAAAAAAAATTAAGCTCAATCGAACAATCAAAATTCACCATGTCATCAACGTATGGCGTTAACAATGCGACCATGCAAATTTACCTCCCCGGTGGTTCCAAAACAGCTGTATAAGTACTGCTCATCCATCCAGTACTGCAGATCTCCAATCCACAGGCTCCGGATCCCATCATCCGCTATCGGCTGAGCCTGAGCCGCTGGCCCGGCAACGTACTGCTGCTGCGGGACGGCGCCTGCCGGAGCCTGCGGCTGTTGGTAGTAATAACCGGCTGCGGGCGGCGGTTGAGAAGGATGGACCTGGTATGGGAGTTGCTGAGGCTGCTGCGCCATCCATGGTTGAGATGGCTGCTGCGGTGGCTGTTGCTGGTACTGATGTGGGAGCATTGGAGGAGGGACCATGGTGGTTGCCGGCTGCATCATCGTCGGACCCTAGATTTGTTTGCGAGGATTGATAGGATGGGGGCGTAGATAAGCGGTGCCCTAATTAGGTTTGACAGGACCTGAGAGGAAGAGAGAGAGAAAAAAAGGAATAAATTTTTCAATTTATGATATTGACGTGGATCAATCGAGTAGGAAATACCGTAATAGCCCTTTGACCTGACTGGACTTTTGTAGATGGATCAATCAAGTAGGAAATACCGTAATAGCCCCTTTCACCGGACTGGACTTTTGTAGATAGAGCTGATTTCTCTCAAAATTCTATAGAGCCCAATAGGGTACCATAAGTTATGGCACAATATGATGTGACTTTATTATTATATCTCGCAATTCCAACATGACACTAAATTGTAAAAGGAATAAATAAAAAATCTTCAACGGAATATTACGCCCTCATAAAAATTGAAGGCTTCACAATCTGCGCCTATAAAACAGACGACCGACGACTTGGGCCAAGAAATATCTGGCTTTTGGGGCTTTTGTTACTAGATGGGCCGCCTTGAGTAGCACCGCCCCCGCTAACATGGGACGACATCGATGTCCCTATTTGTATACTGAATCAACCCTGCGTGTGTCGATGCTCAGCACCGTGGGGCTCACTTCCCCAGACCACGCAGCTAGAATGTTCACACGTTCAAGAATCGAGTTTCGTTTGTAGCAAGTGGAGTTTGAGGTCCTAAATATGTATCTTCTGATTCATAATAAGGTGTTTAGGTCCCAATAATCTTTCCCAGTCGAGTGTTGTATTGTCCGAGCCGAGAGACCCTTTTTTGCTGCAGCTAAACTCAATTGAAAAAACAGATAAAAGAGTTAGAAAGTTTCGATTTTACCTACAGTATAGGTTGAATTTAAATTTCAATTATGAGTTAAACTTGAAAAAATCACTAGCCATTGATTTTTTTTTATTTATTTTTTTTTTTCAGGTTAGAAGCTTTTACCATATTGTGTTTGCACAATTGTCATTAGCTGCTCGTCTAGCTTCTTGCAAGCAACCTCGTTTTTCAACGTAAGCAAAAAATCATTGTTATCCTCGTCTACCTCTCCGGCAACGACTTCTCCGGCCAGATCTCGCCAAAATCTCCGCCATCCACCGCCTCTTCTGTCTCGACCTATCCACCAACAACCTCCGCGGCCCCATCCCGCCGCCGCTCGCCAATCTCACCCGCCTCATCACACTCCACCTCCAGACCAATAGATGGAGCCCCTATGCAACGAGACTCGCCCTTTCCCCAACTGCTCGAACTCCCTCGGAAAAGCATCCATGACGATGTTGTCGACAAGTTGAGTGAGCTCGCGGCCATCGCATACCGCAGTTGCGGCCACCAATTCGCCGAAAAATCACCGCTTGCTAGCGTGGGTGAGTGAGGTCGTGAGGTTCAGGTGAATTTGGGGAAACGGCTTATGAATTGATTTTTAACTATCTAATTGATTTTATGGAACAATAAGAGTTTTATAAAATTGGTATGGAAAATAAAAAAAAAAGCCACCTAATTATGTTGGAATTGAGAGATATAATAAATAAAGCCACATCACATTGCCACGTCATATTGTGGCATGGATTATGGTACCCTATTGGGCACCATAGAATTTCTGCGGTTTCCCCTTAGATCTAAAAAATTGTGGCTTTTTATTGTTTTTTCTCGGATGAACAAATTTATAGATAAATACATAGTTTTAATATTGAAAACAGCTAGAATTGCCGACTAAAACAAATATACACTTAAATCCAAAGAGAGGTTTACACGATGAAAAGTCGATAGCTTAGAATCAACTAAACTAAGATTCACCCACAATATTATATTAAGAGAATTGATATAGGTACATAATACTGTACATAGAGGTGTACATAACACTCACATTGAGTGGGTCATACCAAAAATAAAAAATCTAGTGAACCTCACTTTATGTGAGTGTTACGTACATCTTTATGTACATTTATTAGTTACTTGTAGCATTTTTTCTTATATTAATACTCGCACACGTGGAGAATTCTAGCTCCCAAAAGGAGAATACTCTATAAAACAACACATCACAAAACACCAAACTACTAACACCACAAAACACAACTACACCCCTAAGTACTAGAATAAAATCATCCTCAACCGCCAGCAATATCTCCGAAACACCACCACTCGAGCCAACATCCATAGAAGAGCCCTCACCAACGTCAGGTCCCTGGTTCTTCCACAAATCCAGAAACTCCAACCTATGACTAATTTGAACTGGACCAAAAGAGCTAGAACCTCTGTCAAAGGAGCCTCGTCGGAACAGCACCGGGAGACCGACAACCCTAAAGCACCCTAACACCAAACTGAAGACGACAACCTATCACCAACAAGACGATAGCAGCCACCTCCGTTGAACGCTTCCACCTCAGCACCGTAGACATACAAGATCTGAGATAGCAATTCAGTCTCAGTCTCATCCACCATCGAAAGTGCGGAAGGCGTCGGCGGTCATGAGCTCGACGCCCAGATGTCGGACCCCACCAAAATTCTTCCATGGCAACCAGTTGAATGGAAACATATTATGCTAGAAGGGGGAGAAGACTAGACAGGAGACTTGTCGACCACACCGATGTGGGTCAACTCTACGACGAAGCAGAGAGATCGGCGAAAAGGAGGCACGACCAGTTAATTGAAAGACTAAAGAAGACAAACTTGGGGATTTCGAACATCGATTTTCCGCAACTTGGCTTTGTTTGTTTAAAAATAACTGAAGCCGATGGGCAAGCCCCTATTGTAAATTTGTAATTATATGTTCCCATTAAAAAAATGTTAAAACAAAATGTTATCATAAATCATTGAAAGTTTTAAAATATTAATTTTTTATTTTATCTTCAAATATTTGTTTAAAAAGTTTTTTTCCCTTCTCTCTCAAGTTCTATCTCGTCGTCTATCTCATCTCAAAAGCAAAAACATCATCTTTTGCCCCTCCACCCTCTTCTCTATCTGACACCCATGGCTCGCACCACTTCTCCGCTCATGGGCTAGACCAGAGTTGGCGCCCCTC